GTTCAAATTCTGGCTGCTTCAGCCTTTCCTTGAGCCATGGTGGCTGGATGAACTTCTGAAACTATCAGTCTAAGGTGATCTTTAAAAATATCCCCTGGCGGGTTTTTGGGGTTTTTTCCCGTTTTATTAGGGACTCATACAACTCTTATCACAATCCATACATACATCAATTGTGTAAAGCACGTTTATACATTCATTGTCCGCATCATTCTCAAAACATTTCCTCTCAACTTAAGCCCCTGGCATCAGGTCCTCAATTTTTTCCCCTCGCTCCCCACTCCTTCTCCCTCATGAACCCTTGATAATTTATAAATTATTATTTTGTCATATCTTGCCCTGTCCAATGGCTCCCTTCACCCACTTTTCTGTTGTCTGTCCACCAGGGAGGAGGTCACATGTAGATACTTGTAATCGGTTCCCCCTTTCCAACCCACTCTCCCTCTATGTTCCCAGTATCGCCACTCACACCACTGGTCCTAAAGGGATCATCTGCCCTGGATTCCCTGTGTTTCCAGTTCCTTATCTGTACCAGTGTACATCCTCTGGTCTAGCCAGACTTGCAAGGTAGCATTCGGATCATGTTACGGGTGGGGGAAGGAAGTATTTAGGAACTAGAGGAAAGTTGTATTTTTCATCCTGATGTTTTCTTTAAATCAAACAGTATTTAACTTCACTAGTAGAGAACGTACAGAGCCTAGGTGGCATTGTGGGTTACATGCTGAACTGCAACCATAAGGCCAGCCGTTCGAACCCACCAGCTTGCTCCACGGGAGAAAGATGAGGTTTTCGGCTCCCAAGAAGATTTACAGCCTCAGAAACCAAATGAGGTAATTCGCCTGGTCCTACGGGGTCACTATGAGTCAGAACTGACTCGATCGCAGTCAGTGAGTGAGTCAGTGAGTGAGTGAAGACTGTCTATCCTGAGCATTGTGTTCTTTTAAGATCCAGTTATATGAGATCAAGCAAATCCTAACATTAGATAACAGTGAGTTCACGTTCACAGGGGAGGAACAACTCAGAAACAGAGGGTGAGAGTGGTCATCTAACTCAAAGAATACAGTCACGTCACTACCTCGTCATGTGGAAACTTGAACTGGTGTATGTTCTGTTGTATTCTTTTTTCCCCCCTTAATCATTTTATTGGGGGGTCTTACAACATCCCATACATCAACTGTATCAAGTATATATATATATAGCCATCATCCTTTTCTAAACATTTACTTTCTATTTTCTATTTGAGCCCTTGGTATCAGCTCCTCTTTTTTCCCTCCCCGCCGCAATCTGTAGTTTCTTAACAAAAAATAAAATAAAAGCTGGGGGAAAAAAAAAAACTGTTGTGGGGATTAAATGGCTAGGTTCAGGGCATACCATGTACAAATATCAGTTCCCCGAAAGACTAGGCATACATCCTAGAACAAGCCACTGAATCTGACAAGCCCTCTTCAGAGCACAGGGGGTGGCCATAAAATTGAAACGAGATGCTGTCAAATCTCTTGGTAAACCCTAAAACTCTGGCAAAATCCACGGTGCAGTTCCCAGCATAGCTCACCCAAGGCCTTACACAAAAGAATTTTCAGTACATGTTTGATACACGAAAGACCTTGTTAATGTTGACAGGGCTCACCTCATCTGGGCGCACAGTAGCCCAGAGAACAGGATGCCAAGTTCATTCAAGAAACCACCTCCTTCACCAGCCTAGGAGGCACTCGGCTCTAGGCCTCAGAGACAGAGTAAACAACGAATTAAGAGCATTGAATAAATAACCTGAACATTATTCCTGACTGGCCTGGGTAGGTTTTAAAGGAGCTCCAGTGGCACTGTTTCGGGAGAAAGGTGGGGCTTTCTACACCAGCACAGTTACAGTTGTAAAACCCACAGGGGCAGTTCTACCCTGTCCTACAGAGTTGTCATGAGTCACAGTGATTCAGTGGCAGTGAGTTGAGAGTTTAAGTGGCATTCATTGTGGGTTCAGCACTAGCCTGCTAACCACAATGTCATAGTTCAAACCCACCAGCCTCGACGGAGGAGAAAAATGAGGCTGTCTGCTCCTGCTCCCATAAAGTGTGACAGTTTCAGAGTCCACCGGTCAGTCACTATGATGCTGAATTAACTCAATGGCAAGGAGCTGGATTGGGTTTGAGAAGTTTTTAGACTTTTACTTGTGTGCTTCTACATCACGGCCTGGAAATTCAGAATACTAGCACAGGATACAGTACGACCCCCAGCCGGTATTCAAAGGTTCCCCCTTCTCCAGCCCCATGTACCCACTTCCAAACCCACCGCCACTGACTGACTGCAACTCACAGGCACCTCAGAGGACACTGTTTCCAAGGCAGCAGGTCTGTATTGAAAGTAAACGACTGTACCCCGTCTTTCTGCTGCGAGGCCAACTTTTGGTAAGCAATGCAATGTGCAGTGCTTACCACTGTGCCAACCGGGTTCCTTTGTCCCTCCCCATCTTTTTTCCTCACTACTGGGGACAGTGTGACTTGTAAGCCTGCAAAGAGCTACCCCTCTACAGCAAACAGACTCTTCTCCAAGGACGTCCTGGTTCGCTTTCTCGGCCCTCCTTTCCATTTCCTGCTGGGTCAGAGCAGACGAATACCCAGTTTACACTCACAGAGCACTTCTTAGGTCGGCAAGGGGTCATGGGGTGAAAGTACCTCCCACTGGAAGCACTGAGGCCCTGGCTGCAACAGCTTCCTTGCAGGGAGCTCGGTGTCCTTTTGCTCCTTTCTGCAAACTTACACCATTCTCCATCTTAAGACATCCCCAAGTCCAAACATTTCAATGAGATGGTGTTAGACGGGGTTCTCCACCTCAGAGATGCATTTGTCCCATCTTCAAGCACCACGTAAACAGCCACTCCGATGAGCTGTTCTCAGTGACAGCCGGGTGAGCTCTCTCGAATCTAACTGAATCAGAGGACTCGAAAAGCATCCTAAAAGGTTGGATTCCAGGGAAAACCAATATAGCTTATTCTTCGAGGGGAAGAATGAATACATGCAATCCAAAGATAACCCTCCAACCTAATTTTAGTTTCTCATTTCTGCCTCCTCTTCCCAGCAGAGCTTTTTCAAGAACTGGCAAGCAGAGCACACAGTAAGAAAAGTCAGGATGCCGGCACTCCCATCTATTACTTTCCTGTTGCTTTCTTACAGGAGTGGGTAACCAATTAGTGAACCATGCAAGCAAACAACTAAAACCCAGCAAAAGCCAAAACCTAAAGACAAAGATTAACCACAAACTCAACAACTTAAGGGCTATTTATCTTCCAGGTCCATCAGTTATAGAAGGAAATTGCTTCCTAACTCCTCCTGAGCAGTCCCACCGGCACCACTTCACCTGCTCCAAATAGCCCTGGCAAACAGAGGCACTGGTTGGCACAAAAGCAGAAATACTCTACCTTTTAGAAAAGTGTCCCTCTTCAAGCCCAGCTATTGAGCAGCCGGCTTCTCATACCTTATAAACACGAAAGAATCACCTAGTGCCTACTTTCTCCCTAACACCCTAGGAGTCCACCTAGTTCCCTCAGGCCTTGTAAACGCTCTTGAGCTAACAGAAGGCCACCAAAGAGCACCAACAGTCTAGTAGGAAGTATCTAACCACACCAGGATTTGGGAAACCTATAGGCTTCTAAGAACAGGACATGTTATGAGCAACTACAGTGTTTAATGTGAAACCCAAGACCCTTCTAAATCTGTCCCTGAGCATCATTCAAGAAAAAATAGCATCTCCCTGAAAACAAGCAAAATAGGGGTTCCAGATCTGAGATGGCACGGCCTTCAACATCCTCCTGGCCTCGGGTACCCGCCATCATTTCAGCTCCCTACATGTTCCTTTGCTTTCCTGAATTGTAGTGAACACACACCATTCCCAAGAGAGGCAAGGGAATATACTTCATTACAAGACTCCCCCCAGGGAAAAACTGCCGCCACATAATGCGAGAGTCTTGAAAAACAGCAGCTGCTACTAAAATCAAAAAGCACAACCTACTCACTCCATGCCCATTCATTAAGCACAGGACGCCACATTGGCAGCAGAGGAAAACAGGTACCGGTTCTATCCTAACACGATAAAGTCTGGGGGATGGACGCTACACACGAATATAAACAGAATGATGAGAAAGGCGACACGAGAGTGACCTGAGGTTCCACTCTGCCCAGGACGACATCCGATCAATGTGTGCCCTGCCATCCCAACCACACAAAAAAGCACGCTACTCTCCAGGCTGCCTCCCTAGTGCCGTAAGAGGTGGGGTGAGGGGAGTGACTTTCACCTGGGTGATCAAGGAAGACCTCTTGGAAGAGCTGTCATTGAAGGAGAGTCCTGGTGGATAAAGTACTGTCACTCTGAAAGGGAAAGTTGGCCCACAGGTTGGGGGAGGAGGGGTGGGAGGAGCATTTTTATTACTGACTGCATGAACTTTGGCTAATGGAGCTGAAGAATCAAAAGAAGTGATTTGGTGTTCCCTGGGATCCATTTGTCTGCCTAAGATTACAATGTCGCCAAGACTCAGATTTTGTCAGGCATCAGATTTCAGACATGGAGACACAAGTGAAGTTATAGCAAAGTGGTTTGCGAACTTCAGCAGGCCCCTAGTCCCTCTGAGAATCCGTAAAGGATCCAGACTCCTCACATCCAGGCAGTGCAGACACATGTGCACACACATACTTCTCCAAGTTTCAGGAGGCTCACATGGGACTTCCCACCCCACCCACCGCCACAAGGTTGAAGGAATAAAAGGGGGGGGGGGCTTTATCACACATGACAAAAGCAAGCTCACTTGAATATTACATTTTCCCAAACTATGCTAATGTTATCCATAAAACACAAAACTAAGCTGATATATATAGATTTTTTTTTTTTTTAAAGTATCAGAACAAGCACATGTAAAACAACAACAAAACCCAGGCAGGGGACTAGTGTGGGTATCATCAAGAGTTTCGGGGACTCCAGCTCCTCACTATTTCGGCTAGCCAGGGCTGCTGTGTCCTTACCTTACTAACATTGAGTGAAGCTAGAGGAGGAGGGGTCTCTGTGCGGTCATTAAGTATTTCCACTTCTGAAACATACTGTAAGTTTATGAGCAAGATGTCTGCGTGGTTGGGCTTTCCACTTGAAGAAGGACATTCTGGTGAGAAAACAAAGTTAAGGAACACAGACACGCAGCCGCCCTGACCATCCCTGTAGCGGCACGCAAAACCTAATTCACACAAAACCCAAACCCACCGCCAAGGCTGTGAATGTTTCCTGGAGCAGTCTCTCAATTTGCTCCCGAAGATGAGCGGGTGGGCTTGAGTCACCAAGGTGGCTGTTAGCTGTCCAGCACTCCGTGACAGTTCCTGTGAAAGGTGGGGCACTCACCCTCATTGTACCCCTCAGAATCTCTGCTTCTCACCTCCTTCCCCCTCAAAGCCCTAACCAGAGATTTGGAACTTTTCAAACCCAAGCACAAGCAAAGGGCCTTCTGTCACCTTCTCTGTTTTACAAAGAGAGCACCATGCCATGTCAATGCCTCTTGTCTACTGTGTCTGGAATCTCTGAACCACAGGGTGGGACGGTCGAGGCAGGGTTCTGTTTTCTTCTTGGTGCCATACCTTCAGAATGATCTCAGATATGAGGTCTTCCACGTCAGAGGCAAAAGGAAACTCACCCAGCTAGTTCCTCCAGTCACACACTCATTCATTCATTCATTCATTCATTTACTCACTCAAGGTCCTACAGTATGTCAATGAAAAGGAAATGGGGCCCTTCTGTCTCAGCCACTAGAAGGGGGCTTATTAGAGCAAGGTAGGCCCTCTTGTGTTGCTGTTTAAGAAAATAGCAACTCTCCTTGCAGTAATTAGCTATTCCGGCGGGCATCTTCTGGTACTAGAAATCTACAACTAGTGGTCAAAGGGATTGAAATACTTGCCACTCAAAGGCAGCAGAATCAATAGGCAATTTCACTCTGAAAGAGGCCATCAAGGATTAAAGGATTAGCCCCCCCTCTCCCACATACCCAAATAAACCCATCAGTAGCTCAACTAAAAGAGGGAAAGGCGGCATATTTATTCCAATCAGGAAGTGTTTTATTCCCAAGATTGAGTTTCCTGGAGTAACTCACACAGCACTTCTTCCCCCAAAGAAGCCGGCCACCTTTTCCCACCTAGCTAAACTCAGCCACCTTCAAACAGGGGAGGTCTCTGACCATGGAAAAGAGGTCCACGCGCTGGACTGAGCCACAGAAGAACTTCTCTCTCACCGTCACCCACACAGCCCTACTTGAGCCACGGCCTTCAACATCCTCCTGGCCTCGGGTACC